CCAAAATCAATAAATTATATTTGAAAGTTTTATAATATATATATATATATATATACATACATAATTTATATAATAATCTAGGAATAAAATTAAATTTTATAAATTAAAAAAAAATAGAAAGTGAGGTTTTTGTAAAAACTTTCATTGTAGAGTTTTATGGATGTTCTTGTGAAAGGAAATGAAGGAAATAAATGAAAATAAAATAATTTTTTATGTTCGTGCAGTAGGAGAGAAAGTGAAGATATTATTTTTATAAATATACTCTTATTTATTTTATTGTGTAATGTAATTGATGGGTATATATGTAATTTTATAAATATTTTTAATTTTTATAAATTATTTTCTTTCTTTTTCTCTCACGTTTGAGAGGAAGTTTTGAGAGAAAAATCAATATTATTTTCTTTTATTTCTTTCTTTAAAGAACTCGAAAATAGAAGATTTTTTCTTTTTGAACGTTTATTCATTAATTGTCTCTTTATTGTATGTAATTAATAATTTGTTGTAACATCCATTATTGTCATTTAATGATCAAATATTATGCATCGTTTTTTAACTAATGAAATTTAATATATGATGGTGAGAGAAAAAAAAAAAAAAATATATATATATATATATAGGGTATATTTCTTTTACAACCTTGTACATTTGTACAACCTTTGCAACCCAATTAATTGAGATATTTATAAAAATGATTGGAGTTCATTTATTATGATTTTAATATTTATGGAATATGAATAGAGTTTATTAATTATGATTAATAGTTTATATTAGGAAACAATTAATTGATTAAAAATTGAATGATTGAGATGAGGGTTGTATAGGGTGTAGGAATGGCAAAGGGTGTAAAATAACATCCCTCTATATATATATATAAACAAGACAAATTAAATGCATAAAACATGATGTGAATATTTGTTGTTGGATGAAAACTTCTTTTGAAAGTCATGACTTGTTTACTATTTGATTATTTCTTTTTATCGAGTAAGAGATACTGAACGAAGATGTTGCAATTTATAGAATCTTTCTTACTCAGCTGGTAAGCAGTGTTGATAAGTAACACACACACACACACACATATATATATATATATATATACACGTACATATAGAGGACGACAATCAATTTGTAAAACTACTCTCATCCGTCGTAATCTTATGAAATGTTTTCATGAAATTGTTTAATCTTGTGAAATTGTTGCATATAATACTTTTTTTGATGAAATTGTTTCATATATGGTTTTGAAATTGAAATTGTTTCATATACTACTTAATGAAATTTTAATTAAACTGTTCCATGTATTTCTCTAAAATTAAAATAATTAATATGATAATATCCATGATTAACATCCTCCACAATAAAAATGATTAATCAACCTCTTATAATTACAAAAAAATGAACAAAATAAAAAATTATGATTGGTGGAATGAGGTTTTTACGGTTTTTACAAATTGAGTGGTTTTCATTTGATCGTTCTCCTATATATATATATATATATATATATATATATAAACATATCTAGTTAACCTTTACCCAATTTATGTTAATAAACCACCTTTTTAGTTACAATACCAAACACAAGCAAAACGATCGTCTAAGTAGCTTTGGAACCAGCTACGCATAAGGAGACATTTACTCAATCTAGACCTCTTTATAATTATGAATGGGCGGCCAACTACATTTAAAAAGTACTTTAATCATATTTCACTCGTCGACTTTTATCAAACGCTTACATTATCGATAAAATTTAACACTTTCACTTACCAATCGGATAATAGTTTAGTCCACGAAAATGGTTGTGTATGTAACAATTTATCCGATAAGACCTAATCATGGTCATCGTCATCGTCATCACTTACCCGGTAAGACTATCAGTTCTTGCCTTCGTTCTTACCGGGTATTATTCTTGATTCTTGCCATATCCATTCGCTAAGGTAATATGACTTGATAAGCACCAACCCGAATAAGTATTTAGTAAACGGACTCTAAATTCTCTTAGTTACCTTGTAAGTTATTAATTTATGAAATTGAAAGTGTCATAGATTCATTTATATATATATATATATATATATATATATATATGGATAAAAAAATATACTATTTTATCAAAGTTGACGTGTTTTTTCGATTAGTCTAAATCGGGCAAGAGCATTTACAGGTCTAAACGAACGGAAACCAACGATTTAATATATAATGATTGTATCCGTAAACGTGTTTTTTACTTAGATTAGACAAGTTTAGATAGTTGACCGAATAAGCTGTAAATCTCGTTAAACTACTGATAAACAAACCCTAATTATTACAGTTAATAATTAAAAGAGATATTAAAACCCATAAATTTAATATATAATGATAAACAACGTATATAGACGTTTACATATATAACACATCAAATCTTGTATTACAATTCCAGAATTTTGAATTCTGCAGAAATATTTAAAATGAAATATAAAAAGATAAAAAAAAATTTAATTATTAAAAAAAACACAATAATTTTGAAGTTGTGTTATTATTGTTTTTGTTTTTCTAATACACGTAAATTCACAGCTTCACGACCTCCGGGATGTGCACCGGGTATCGACCAATACAATCCTCCCATGGCCCGCCGGTCGGAGTTTTGATGCTCCGGTTACACTTCCAGACGGCGCTGTTACACTTGAACCCACTTCCGAATGCAATTTGCCAAACCCTATCACCTTTCTTCATCCTCCCTTTTGATTCGATGTAACTCAGTTCGTACCACAGCGACGACGACGAGGTGTTGCCGAATCGGTGCAACGTCATCCGGGAAGCTTCTACGTGCTCCGCCGACAACTGGAGGTTCTTCTGAAGCTCGTCGATCACCGCTCTTCCACCGGCGTGTATGCAGAAGTGTTCAAACGCTAGCTTGAAGTCTGGAATGTAGGGTTTCCATTTTGGATTGAAGATTTTCCGGCCGATGAGGGTGAAAAGGAAAAGGAGCTGCTCCGATGCCGGTAGAACTAAAGGACCGATCGTGGTGATGTTTGACTTCAAAGCTTCGGCGGCAATCACCATGAGATCTTTTGATAAGTTGATTCCGACGAGTCCTTGAGGATCTTCTTGTTCGTAAACGCATCTGTAAGCTCGGTCGTCGGAACCTTTGTGGGTTCTGACGACATGGACGAGCTTGTACTTCGCACGGCTGCGCTCACGGCGTTTGTTCGACAGGAGGAGGGCGGCGGCGCCCATTCGGAAAAGACAGTTTGGAAGAAGCATAGCTCGTTCATTTCCTTGATAATAGTTTGGAGTAATGATTTCAGTACTAACCACAAGAGCATTTGAATTCGGAAGAACTTGAAGTAAATCTCTGGCTAAATCTATGGAGATCAATCCGGCGCTGCATCCCATACCGGATAAATTAAAGCTCTTAATGTTACTCCTCAACTTATACTTATTCACCACCATCGCCGACAACGATGGCGTCGGAGAAAACAAGCTGCAGTTGACTATAAGAATGTCTATATCTTTCGGTTTCAACCCAGTTCTCTGAAACAGATTATCAATGGCGGAGAAGATCACAAGTTCAGCCTCGCCTCTAGCAGCCTCCATGTTAGGATTGGGCGGGATGTAATGAATCGCCGGCGGCAAACTCGTCTCTTCACCTAATCCCGAACGTTCAAGGATCCTCATCTGGAAATCAACACTCTTAGGGTTATCCTTCAAGATCAACCTCGAGTGTTCCATGAAAGTAGAGAAAGGAACACGACAAGTGATGGGAGCTTTGTAACAGGTGTAATCAACAAGATAAACGGATCGAGGTTTCGACATGAAGTAGACGGTGGAGATGAAGAGTATGAGAAACACGGAGCATAGTATTTGAACAAGATCAAGATGGAGGGATTTGGCAGTGGTGATGATCTCTTCCGGACCTACACGGAGGAGTTGGACGGCGACGGCGGCGATAATGGGGATGAGTAAGAATGTAAGGATGTGATTAACCAGATACTGATATCCAAGCTTCACATACTTAAGCTTGACGGAGGATGAGAAATCCGGCAAGATTTGTGGCATTTTAGAAGGGTTTTGAGAGGAAGAAATGGAGGAACAACAATGGCGGATGGTGAAGAAAGACGAGAGGTGGAGGGAGATTTAAAGGGAGGAGGCGGAGGTAAGGCAATGAATGAAGACAGATGAGAAGATATAAATGAGGGGTCAGCTTCAACATCATGCAACGGTCCCTCAGTACTGTTGTGAGTTCCTTTAATAAAAGTTCATCTTTTACTTAACATTTTTGGTCCCTATTCTTTCTATTATTTACATTTAAAACCCTAGAATGAAATAACTCTTACGACATATGTCGTTAACTAGAGATGCACAAGGATCGAGTCTTCTAAGACCATTTTCGTTAATGAAATAACTCTGGCAACAAAAATGGTATGTTAGGATGCTAGCGATCGTCTTAATACGATATTTACTGGGACTTAATGTTTATAGTCATTACAGAATTGTTAGAACGAAAGTTAAACAATGTGATACTATTCAAAAAGTAGACCATCCTATTAGCATTTTTATAAGATATACAGTTCTATTTGTTGAAGTGATCTCCACCCGCTCCCGCCCCCACGACCTCGTTCTCATAATTTACATTTGCTAATTTAACACAAGGCAAAATAGTTAAGTTGATTCGCTGTCAAGGCCTTTGTGACCATAGAGATTCACTTGTGATGATCCCAGATCATTAGTGGTCGTGAGGGGAATTAGTCGGTGCTAAGGGTGCAAACGAACCGAACGACCTTGTTCATGTTTGTTCGTTTAACTTAACTGAACAAACGAATATACACAAACAGTAAACGAACAAATTTTTTGGTGTTGGTGATCGTTCGTTTAGAAAATGGTTGTGTTTGTGTTCATTTATGTTCGTTCATTAGAATGCTAAAGTGTTCGTTTACGTTCTTCCATTAAAATGCTAAACGAACCTAACAAAACGCTTAAAAGAACACAAGGTGCAGTTGCTTTGATTAGGTGCTCCAATCAAACCAATTGCAAAGACTTAAGCCTCTGGCCCCAAGCCACTGAGCAAAATTGAATGGGTAATCATTGAAGGGTTTGAGGATCATAGACGGACCTAGAGGGGTGGTTAGATGGCACGTGCCACCGTATTGTTCTTCCGTAGTAAGGTAAAAAAAATTAGGTTCATAAAAAGCGCAACCGTTTTATTCTAGAAGGTGCAACCGTTCTATATGGTGCCACCGTATCCAAAAATTCTTTGATCCGTCCCTGTTGAGGATTATATACACTAGAGTACTAAGCCATTGGATGAGTAACCCACTGGGGTGGGTCTCACTTCCATTTCAAAGGAGGAAAGAGTTAAAGTCGAATGATGATGGGCTCATCCAACATCGGAAATTTTAAGAAAACAAAGACATAGAGTAATGACAATAATTATTAATTAATAGTTAATTTATTATCATCATCAGTAAACGAACGAACAAGACATTTGTTCATGTTTGTTCGTTTAACTAAAAAAAAACGTGTTCATGTTATTTCCTTTATTAAATAAACGAACTTTCTGCCGAATGATTTGCTGAACATTCGGTTGGTATACAGCCTCAGTTGTGTAAGTTGGGTCGGGACCTACAGTTACCCAAAAACGTTTTAGTTAAGTTGAGGAAGACAGATGTATATAATATCTATATTTGGGCAAATAAGACGCTACATATAATTATTTGTGGATGAGAAGGATTGTTTTTGCAATTAGATCAAAGATAAATGGTGATACATGTAATTTCCCCAAAAAGAAATTGAACACAGCGACACTCATCCTGGTCCCATAAAGGTAAACATTTGCTTAAATAAGAGGCTCTAATTCCCTAATAAAACTCACCTCAAATTGGAAACCTTATTCTTATAAGTTATTATATTTATATTATATCATAAAACATTTGACAACAACTCTTAAAAATCGTTTTTTATGCATAAAATATTGTTTATTAATACATATTACTTAAAACTCAAAATTGCAAGTAGGTTGTGTTTAAGTACAACTTATTAAAGTTCAATATTTGAATTCGTGTAACTAACTGTAGATAAACATAATCAAATACAGGATAAACAGCTCATTTTAAATATAAAAAATTTAAAATATAACTAGGATAATCATTGAGTTCTAACAAAATACTTAATTATTATCTTTATAAAATAAGTCTTGGATGATACTATTAAACATTAAAGAGATAAAAACAAATCTAAGATAACTATAAGTTGTTGATAAATACTAATTTATTTTTGTTTATTCTAAATTTTATTGTGGGTTGATTAATTTGGAGGCCAAAAGTATTCTCGAATTTTCGTAAAACATGAATGCTTTCGTTTGAACCCCGCAAGGTATATATTTATGTATGTGTGTGTATGTGTGTGTGTGTATGTATGTATATATATATATATATATATATATATATATATTAAAGGAGTGTTCAAATACAAACCGCCTCAATTTATACAAACCATATAAACTAATAACAACTAATCATATAAATCCATTTGTTTTTCTTAATTTTTAATTTATAGGGGCATTATAGTCTTTTGAGATTATTATAGTTATGTTTGGTAAATATTTAATACTAATATATAGGTTTGATAATTCTTTAATTTTATATAAATATGGATTATATCTTGATTAACTAGCACCTTTTTAGTAAATATTTAATTGATTTATCCATTAAATATGTTGATACAAATTGTCATCTTTGAAAAATGTACAATAATTATTGATTAAAGAATATTTTTATGTTTCATTATTTATTGATATATCCCCATTTTATAATTTCTAGGTAACTCTATTTCATAATTAACATATTCATCATTAACAGTTTCATTCTATTTTTCATTATTAACATATTCATCATTAACAGTTTTATTTTGTTTGATTCTGTACAATGCCACAGTTTCATTCTGTTTCATCATTAACAGTTTCATTTTGTTATATTATTAACACTTCTAAATAGTCTATTATCCCATCATTAACAGTTTGATAGTGTCCAATGAAACATGTTCACGGGATTGAATGCGGGAAAGGGGATTTCAATTATTGCAACAGTTTACAATTTGTTCCCATTTTACCCTTTCTTGTTGAAAATAATAATAATTTATTTTTTATTTTTTTTATTTTACTAAAATAACTTGTCTTAATCGTGACATTTGATAATGAAAATGAATTGATGTAATTGGTTTGTAAAAAAAACATGGTTTGCAAAGTAGACCTCATATATATATATATATATATATAGAGAGAGAGAGAGAGAGAGAGAGAGAGAGAGAGAGATCTTTTAAAAACATAACCATTAATTTAAACCATACAAACCAAGTACTTGAAATCTTTATTGAAATGATAATAATTTATGTATTATGATTTACATATTTATAGAAAAATATCAGGTTTCATTTACTATAATCAATATTTTATATTATAAAACAATCAAAATATTTATTGGATTGAATATTATTAAACGCCAAGAACGATTGTGATTAATTTGTATGGTTTGTACTAATGTATGAGTTTGTAAATGAAATCACATATATATATATATATATATGTATGTGTGTGTGTGAGAGAGAGAGAGAGAGAGAAAGAGAGAGAGAGAGAGAGAGAGAGAGAGAATTTAGGAACAATATTTTACATGATCAAAATGTAGCATTTTTAATACACACTAGAATGGTACTCGTGCAATGCAGCAGAGAGAGAGAGAGAGAGAATTTAGGAACAATATTTTACATGATCAAAATGTAGCATTTTTAATACACACTAGAATGGTACTCGTGCAATGCAGCGATATACATCTTGATTTTAATATTTTATTTTATTTTTTATCTCAGTCGATGTTATAATATGGTCTTATGTGATTTTGAGAAAACGATGATGTTTTTAT